TCTTTTGTTACCAAGGGTGGGAGAGGTCTGAGGTGTGAATTGGTCATTAACATATCTTTTGTTTCCAAGGGTGGGAGAGGTCTGAGGTGTGAATTGGTCATTCCAATGTGTGACAAGCTTGGTAGGAACATCCTGTGTTCAGTGTTTTGTCCATCTGAGTACCTTGAAAACACTTTGCATGCATTCTTCATGATGAAAAAGGCTCTGGACAGCATCGAGAACTGGAAGAGTTAAAAACATTTTTTAAACGTAAACGCTTATAAACGCGATTTGCCGCATTTACAAGTGTTTTGCGTTTGAAACGCTGATAAAATCAACTGCTGAATGCAAGTTTTTTGCGTTCAAAAAAAACGACTGTAAACTTAAATGCCTGTAAATGACTGTAAAGGACGATGTGTACATGGACACATAGGAGAACATTAGGGAGAGTTCAGGGGCTGCTGAAAAAAAAAAACGCAGAACAGCTCCTGAACGTGAGTTTATCATCTGCAGTGCACATGAACCCTAAGGGTGAATTTCTACATAGTGATATTGGTCCTGCTTGGACCAACGTAGGAATGTATGTTCCATACCTGTGGGATCTCTCTAGAAGCTGGAAATGAATGTAGTAGGCACCGCTACTACTACACCGCTACTACAGCGATCTTCACTTGCATCTGGTTGAATGCAAAGCTTTCTGTGATTGGACAAGGTGGAGAGGCAGGGCAGCGATGCCACAATTTTCAACTGGTCCAGTCTGAGAATACTGTGCATTCCATGAGAAGTTGCAAAGTGTTCTCTGAACAGCGCCTTTGCCAAGCGGCTGACCTTCTGTGTTGATGGAGCAGAACAGCTGCTCTGCACGGGACCTGGAAGCAAGAGGTGCCTACTATACTGACTTCCAACTCTAACCTGGTTTACATATATGTGTCTGTGCAGGCCGTGTTTTGCTCAGGCACGAGAGCCCATTCATTTTAATGGACTCCCGTGTCCGTGACACGCAGGGAAAGAAGTCCCTGCACTACTTTGGAAAACGCAGCCGAGGTTCCCAGTACGGTTGTGTTTCCCAGTGCGGGCGGCGTGCTATGAATGAGCGGATTAAATGGCACATACTGGTTCTTAACCACCTTCCGCCCGCCCCATAGTACAATGATGGGCGCAAGGTGGTTCTCTGGTTCATATGACGTCCTATCATTCTCACTGCAAATGCGCGGCTCAGGGAGCGCACGGTGATCGCCGGTGCGCTGTGTCCCTCGGACACAGCGGATCACGGAAAGAGCCGAAGATGTCGGCTCGGTCATGTGATCAGCTGTGTCCAATCAGGACAGGCTGACAGAGGAGAGCCGGTAATCGGCTTTCTGCGGAGGGGACATGTACACTGATCATCAGGGCACTGATGATCAGTGTGCCCTGATGATCAGTGTGGCCCCAGAAGTGCCACCTGTCAGTGCTCATCAGTGCCACGTGCCAGTGCCCATCAGTGCCTCGTATCAGTGTCTCATCAATGCCACATATCACTGCCCATCTGAGCTGCCTTTCAATGTCACCCATCAGTGCCAGTTAGTGCCACCTATCAATGCCAATCAGTGCCACCTATCAGTGCTGCCAATCAGTGCCAGTCAGTGTTGCCTATCAGTGCGCATCAGTGCCAGTCAGTGCCGCCTATCAGTGCCAGTCAGTGCCACCTATCAATACCAATCAGTGCCACCTATCAGTGCTGCCAATCAGTGCCAGTCAGTGTTGCCTATCAGTGCGCATCAGTGCCAGTCAGTGCCGCCTATCAGTGCCAGTCAGTGCCACCTATCAGTGCCAGTCAGTGCCACCTATCAGTGCCAGTCAGTGCTGCCTATCAGTGCCACCTATCAGTGCCATATATCAGTGTCATGTATCAGTGCTGCCTTTCAGTGCCCATCAGTGATGCCTGTCAATGCCCATCAGTGCAACCTACCAGTGCCTCCTCATCAGCACCCATCAGTGCCACCTATCAGTGTCCATCAGTGCAGCCTATCAGTGCCCATCACTGCAGCCTCATTAGCGCACTTCAGTGAAGGAGAAAAATCACTTATTTACAAAATTGTATAACAAAAACTAAGAAAAAATTATTTTTTTTCAACATTTTCAGTGGTGTTTGGTTTGTTTAAGAAAAAATAAAAATCCCGAGGTGATTATATACCACCAAAAAATGATAAAAATGTCATATGGGTACAGTGTTGCATGACCGCACAATTGTCATTCAAAGTGTGATAGCGCTGAAAGCTGGAAATTGGCCTGGGCAGGAAGGGGGTAGAAGTGCCCGGTAGGCAGGAAGGGGGTAGAAGCGCCCGGTAGGCAGGAAGGGGGTAGAAGCGCCCTGTAGGCAGGAAGGGGGTAGAAGCGCCCTGTAGGCAGGAAGGGGGTAGAAGCGCCCTGTAGGCAGGAAGGGGGTAGAAGCGCCCTGTAGGCAGGAAGGGGGTAGAAGCGCCCTGTAGGCAGGAAGGGGGTAGAAGTAATGAAAGTCCTGTGTCCTGTAGGCAGGAAGGGGGTAGAAGTGTCCCAGGAAGGGGGTACAAGTGCCTGTAGGCAGGAAGGGGGTACAAGTGCCCTGTAGGCAGGAAGGGGGTACAAGTGCCCGGTAGGCAGGAAGGGGGTAGAAGTGTCCTGTAGGCAGGAAGGGGGTAGAAGTGTCCTGTAGGCAGGAAGGGGGTAGGTGTCCTGTAGGCAGGAAGGGGGTACAAGTGCCCTGTAGGCAGGAAGGGGGTACAAGTGCCCTGTAGGCAGGAAGGGGGTACAAGTGCCCGGTAGGCAGGAAGGGGGTATCAGTGCCCGGTAGGCAGGAAGGGGGTAGAAGTGCCCTGTAGGCAGGAAGGGGGTAGAAGTGCCCGGTAGGCAGGAAGGGGGTAGAAGTGTCCTGTAGGCAGGAAGGGGGTAGAAGTGCCCGGTAGGCAGGAAGGGGGTAGAAGTGCCCGGTAGGCAGGAAGGGGGTAGAAGTGCCCTGTAGGCGAGGGGTTAAAGCGGAACTAAAGAGTGAATACTTACCTGTCCTACAGTCCCTCGCAGGTGCCAACATCTGCTTCTGAGTGCTGGTCTTTGGGCCAACGGGGCACGACATCAGCCCTGTGCACCATGACACTTACCCCCGGTTCTCACCTATGCGGCCGATGGGCCGCGTTTTGCTCGGGCACGAGAGCCCATTCATTTGAATGGACTCCCGTGCCCGTGACAAGCAGGGAAAGAAGTCCCTGCACTTCTTTGGAAAACGCAGCCCGCACGGGAACCAAGGATCCTAGTACGGTTGCATTTCCCAGTGTGGGCTGCGTGCCATTAAAACTAATGGCACCCGCCCACGGGTCCGCATTTCTCTGTGCGGGTGGTGCGGCTGTATGGATTTTCGTGCAGATCCAAAGCGGCACCACCTGCACAGATATGAACCGGGGGTAATACAGGATCAGCGCATCGGAGGTGCAAATAAAGAAAATACTGCCCAGCAGCTGGCAACACTCTGCTCCCCCCGGGCAGACTAAATTTTTACATATTGACTTTCAGGGGGGGGATTCCATGGGTATGGCACATATTTACTTACCTTGATCCAAGCTGGACCAATATAACTGTGTAAAAAATGACACACCTAGAATTCAGCTTTATTGGCTACCTTACGTTATTTAAGATGAAAGCTTTTGGGACCCGAGAGGGTCTTCTTCATGACCTATAAAGCCTGAAGAAGGAACCTAACTGGTCCTGAAAGTTTATCTTTAACCACTTCCAGTCCGGGACACTTTCCCCCCCCCCCTTCCAGTCCGGACACTTTCACCCCCTTCCCTGTCCGGACACTTTCACCCCCCTTCCTGCCCAGGCCAATTTTCAGCTTTCAGCGCTATCACATTTTGAATGACAATTGCGCGGTCATGCAACACTGCACCCATAAGAATTTTTTAGCATTTTTTTGAGACAAATACAACTTTATTTTGGTGGTATTTATTCACCGCTGGGATTTTTATTTTTTTGCTATGTAAATGAAAATGTCCAAACATTAAAAAAAGTGTTTTTCTTATAAAATTTTGCAAATAAATCTTTCTTCATAAATCTTAGCCAACATTTATTCAGTTATCTTTTTAGTTAAAAAAACCCCAAAATTAGTTTAGAACCAAAAATTATAATTTTTCAAAAATGTTTTTTTTACATTTTTATTTATTTTTTTCATATTATTTATGATAATATGATTTATGATCATATTTTTTCTTTAACATACCATCACCCTAACAGTACAGTGTCACCATGGTGACACTGTACTACTTGTGGGGGGTGATGAAGATTTTTTTTTATTTTTTTTTACACGGATTGCTTTTACAGCCATAAAGGCTGTAAAGCAATAATTTCTCCTTCTCTCTGTCTGCATTCTTGCAGCCATTGTGAAATACTGTGTGAGCTGTGATTGGTCACAGCTTGTCACATGGTACAAGGCTGTCATGAATAGCCCTGTACCATGTGACCTCTGTGATCATTCACAGATTTCACTAGTAGTAAGCAATGATCTCAGAAGTGACATCTTGCTTACTCCTATTCATGTGATCACTGATTGGCCAATCAGTGATCACATGATCAGGTCCTCGCACAGAGGTCCCGTACAGCGATCGGTGTTCTGCAGTGTCCGGAAGACACAGTGGGTACCGGATCGCGGTGCTGCGCGCTCCCAGGCAGCGCGCACAGTCCTAAATGGCGGTCGCCGTTTATGAACGGATAACCTAAGGTTGCCAATAAAGGTTATCACTTAAACTCCAGATTTTGAAACATTAGGCCTCATATGTCATATATTGATAGGACATGAAATGTTTGTTTTGTGGTCCTTTCATCGTGAATGTTAACACTTTGTTGTGTCTTTGCAGGACATCATCTCTCAGATGGAACACGGGCACCAAAGAACGAATGTTGATCAAGGTGACGGATCGGGAGCCGAGCTTCTTGATGCACCAGGGTAATGGTTACTCTACTGACAACGCCCAGGGCACCCGGTCCCGCCGGCCATCGGGCGGGCAGCCTTCCCCATCATGCAAACATTCTCCGTAGACACGGACAATTCTGTGTTTTTCCCTGAAAGAAAATCATCCCCGTATATGAAAAGAGCGGAACATGTTGGCTCTTGCTCGCCACTCCTTGGTCGAGGCGAATCATTCTGCACGTTACAATCTCAACATAGAAAACACTCGAATGAGTCCCAACCTTCTTCTCCGCGCTATGCATATGAGCCCCCATTGTATGAAGAACCTCCCATGGAGTATCAAGCTCCCATCTATGATGAACCACCCATGGAAATGCAGTACGACAGCAGTGGCAATTATCGGGCAATGTCCCCACAAAAGTCACCTGTACGAAAACCACACAGCTACCTACAGTCACCCAAACAGGTTTCCAACTCTCCGTACCAACAGCTCGTGTTGACCAAACAGAAATGCTCTGACAGGTTCATGAGCTTGGACTACAGCCCGGCTGGCAAAGAGTACGTTAGGCAGTTGGTCTATGTAGAACAGTCGGGGTCCAGTCCAAAGATGAAAACGGGTATCAGGCATAAATACACACCCAATACAATTGGTGGATCTTACTCCCTGCAGCATAATCCACCCTATATGAGGGACCATCGTTTGGAGGTCAAGTCTGGAGATTACAGCAGCATGGAGAGTGCCGAACTGCGACACAACCAACAGCAGCAGCAGTTTTATTCTGAAGATTCCATGTCATGGTCCAGTCAGCAGGACACTATGTCCTCTACGGGCTACTCTCCCAACACAAGAAAACGGAAAAGCAGGAAACCGTCCTTGTCCCAGGAACCAAACTCGGCTCCGGCTGATGTCACCGCAGAGAAGGAGCAAATGAATGAGCATAATATGGTGGAAGAAAGGCCTTCATCAATGCCCAACAGGCCGCTGATGAGCCGGACGGAGAGCCGGTCATCTGAGTCCGATATGCACCGTGGCTCACCCGAAACGTTTCTGGCCCAGGCCCGTCTGGCATGGGAGGCCCAACAGGCCCATTTCCATATGAAGCAGAGGAGCAGCTGGGACTCTCAGAAAGATGGCTCTGGTTATGAGAGCGACGGGGCCGTGCCTCTACCAATGCCCGGCCCTGTGGTCAGAGCCTTCAGTGAGGATGAGGCGCTGGCACAGCATGACGGCAAGTACTGGAAGAGGAACAATTTCGATAAGCTTGGATTTCCACAAATACTACTGGAAAAAAGTGTGTCGGTTCAAACCAATCTGGCCTCACCGGAGCCATACTTACATCCATCTCAGGTAAACAGGGCATGCTGTTATAGTCGTATGATACATTTGTAGGGCAAGCTTTGGGTGCAATGCCAGTTGCTTGTGTGTGTGTTCTGTCATACCATGTGTCAATGTGACTACTGCGAACCTCAAAATCTGCCATTGATAATACCAATGGTTTACATGTTTACCAATCTGAGGACCCAGAAACAGGTTCTGGGAGGCCACATGGAGTCCAGACCAGAGCGAACATACCAACTGAGCACACTTTTGCTGGTACAAATGAAAAATGAGCCTCCACCTAATGAGAGGCTGAGAAGGAAAAACTCCACCCAATAATAATTTATAAAGGTATCCATGTTTTTATTTACATCTTCTATGTATTATTGTACGTTTACATATAAATTAACCACTTCCCGTCCGGCCCATGTACATAAACAACTGGACAGGAGCAGTGCAGGAGCTGGTTACCGTTCATAAACCGCGCCCATATTTTCAGCCTGTGCGCGCTCCCTGGGAGCGTGCTGCACCGCGATCCGGTGCCCGCTGTGTCCTCCACACCGATCGCTGTACGGGACCTCTGTGTGAGCAGTGCAGGGGCGGGTGGCCGTTTATAAACGTCCTCCCTGATTCCCTGCTCCCTGGGAGCACGCAGCACCGCGATCCGGTGCCCGCTGTGTCCTCCACACCGATTGCTGTACGGGACCTCTGTGTGAGGTCCCGTTCATGTGATCACTGATTGGCCAATCAGTGATCACATGAATAGTAGTAAGCAAGATGTCACGTCTGACATCATTGCTTACTACTTGTGAAATCTGTGAATGATCACAGAGATCACATGGTACAGGGATATTCACAACAGCCTTGTACCATGTGACAAGCTGTGATCAATCACAGCTCACATAGTATTTATCAATTGCTGCAGGAATGCAGACAAAGAGAAGGAGAAAATTATTGATTTTACAGCCTTTATGGGTGTAAAAGCGATCAGTGTAAAAAAAAAAATAAAATCTTCATCACCCCCCACAAGTAGTACAGTGTCACTATGGTGACACTGTACTGCTAGGGTGACAGTATGTTAAAAAAACTAAATTATAATTTTTGGTTAGAAACTAATTTGGGTTATTTTTTTTTACTAAAAAGATAACTGAATACATTTTGGCCAAGATTTATGAAGAACGATAATTTATTTGCAAACTTTTATAAGAAAAACACTTTTTAATTTTTTTTTACTTATTCATTTATATAGCAAAAAAAACCTAAAAATCCCAGCGGTGAATAAATACCACCAAAATAAAGTTTTATCTGTCTCATAAAAAATTCATATGGGCACAGTGTTGCATGACCGCGCAATTGTCATTCAAAGTGTTATAGCGATGAAAGCTGAAAATTGGCCTGGAGAGGAAGGGGGTAAAAGTGTCCGGACTGGAAGTGATTAAATATTGGCATATTCTGCAAAGCTGTACAGAGAACACTGAGCCATTCCCGTTGGTGTTTGCAACAGAGGAGCTTACACTCTAATGTCCCACGACAGTTACACATTATTCTGCATTTCTATAGCTCTGACATACACTGCAGTGCTGTACAGAGAATACTGAGCCATCCACCTCAGTGTGCACCGGAGGACCTTATGCTGTAATGTCTTCCCGCAGTCGCACACAAATTATTATAAACTTGTATAGCTCTGACAAATTCTGTACTGAGCCAGTCACATCAGTCTCTGCACCAGAAGAGCTTACACTCTAATGCAGGGGGGTAGGCAACTTTTGAGAGTTGGAGATCTACCTGAACAACTTAAAAGAAATCGAAGATCACTGGGGTTCGGCGCCCTTTTTTTTTTTTTTTTTTAAAGAAATTTACTAGCAAGGCCTAACAAAATAGTAAAGAAAACATAGAAAAGTATAATAAAACAAATATCACTGTAAAAATATAAACTTAGCCCACCGTAAAAGTGGATAGTAGCAGTCAGTAGAGCAGTGGATGGTGTGTCAGTGGGGCAGTGGATGGTGTGTCAGTGGGGCATGGATGTGTGTCAGTGGGGCAGTGGATGGTGTGTCAGTGGGGCAGTGGATGGTGTGTCAGTAGGGCAGTGTGGTGTGTCAGTAGGAGTGGATTAGAGTGGGGCAGTGGATGTGTCTATACATTAGAAAGTGTCTATAAAGCAGTGAACATTTCAGTTGGGCAGTGGATGGTGTCAGTAGGACATTAGACAGTCATTAAAGCAGTGAACATGTCAGTTGGATGGCAGTGGATGGTGTCAGTAGGACATTAGACAGTCATTAAAGCAGTGACATTAGACAGTGTCTTTAAAGCAGTGAACATGTCAGTAGGGCAGTGGATGGTGTCAGTAGGACATTAGACAGTCTTAAAGCAGTGAATGTCAGTTGGGCAGTGGACGGTGTCAGTAGGACATTAGACAGCGTCATTAAAGTGTCAGTTGGGCAGTGGATGGTGTCAGTAGGACATTAGACAGTGTCTATAAAGCAGTGAACATGTCAGTTGGGCAGTGGATGGTGACAGTAGGACATTAGACAGTGTCATTAAAGCAGTGAACATGTCAGTTGGGCAGTGGACAGTGTCAGTAGGACATTAGACAGCGTCATTTAAAGCAGTGAACATGTCAGTTGGGCAGTGGACGGTGTCAGTAGGACATTAGACAGCGTCATTAAAGCAGTGAACATGTCAGTTGGGCAGTGGATGGTGTCAGTAGGACATTAGACAGCGTCATTAAAGCAGTGAACATGTCAGTTGGGCAGTGGATGGTGTCAGTAGGACATTAGACAGTGTCTATAAAGCAGTGAACATGTCAGTTGGGCAGTGATGGTGACAGTAGGATCAGTTCATTAAAGCAGTGAACATGTCAGTGGGCAGTGGATGGTGACAGTAGGATATTAGACAGTGTCATTAAAGCAGTGAACATGTCAGTTGGGCAGTGGATGGTGTCAGTAGGACATTAGACAGTGTCATTAAAGCAGTGAACATGTCAGTTGGGCAGTGGACGGTGTCAGTAGGACATTAGACAGCGTCATTAAAGCAGTGAACATGTCAGTTGGGCAGTGGATGGTGTCAGTAGGACATTAGACAGTGTCATTAAAGCAGTGAACATGTCAGTTGGGCAGTGGATGGTGTCAGTAGGACATTAGACAGTGTCATTAAAGCAGTGAACATGTCAGTTGGGCAGTGGACGGTGTCAGTAGGACATTAGACAGCGTCATTAAAGCAGTGAACATGTCAGTTGGGCAGTGGATGGTGACAGTAGGATATTAGACAGTGTCATTAAAGCAGTGAACATGTCAATTGGGCAGTGGATGGTGTCAGTAGGACATTAGACAGCGTCATTAAAGCAGTGAACATGTCAGTTGGGCAGTGGACGGTGTCAGTAGGACATTAGACAGCGTCATTAAAGCAGTGAACATGTCAGTTGGGCAGTGGACGGTGTCAGTAGGACATTAGACAGTGTCTTTAAAGCAGTGAACATGTCAGTTGGGCAGTGGATGGTGTCAGTAGGACATTAGACAGTGTCATTAAAGCAGTGAACATGTCAGTTGGGCAGTGGACGGTGTCAGTAGGACATTAGACAGCGTCATTAAAGCAGTGAACATGTCAGTTGGGCAGTGGACGGTGTCACTCAGTAGAACAGAGGATGTGTCAGTAGAGCAGTGGGTGGTGTGGTGTCGGGTGGTGGGGGAGGGATAGACAGTCTCAGTAGTTTTTTTTTTTAATTTTTATTATTTTTTACTATTGTTTTAGCAGCCCTAAATAGACCCCTGATGTTTCACTCTTGAGACAGAGAAAGGAGATTAAATATTAAATGTCCTCAATCTCCAACTCTGCAGTCTCATCTGCACAGACTAAATGAACTGGAAGAGCTCTGCACAGTCTCTCTGTTCATTCACAAACTGAAGCATAGTAAACAAAGTTTACTATGCTTCAGTTATGAATGAGCACAGAGTGATTGGTACCGATCACTGATGGAGTTCATTCAGAAAAGAAGGGGTCAGTAAATTACATATTTACTGGCCCCTTCCCTGGGTTTCAATCCTTACCACAACAGCTGACGAGAGATGAGGGAAAGACAGCAATGCTGGGCAGGCGGGGGGGGGGGGGGGGGGGGGAGAGGTTCAACCAGGGGAGCACACGGGGGGCCCAGGCAGCAGAAGGAAGGGGAACCTGGACAGGAGGGGTGGCGGCATTTACTGGAACTGATTTCCTATATTTTCCTCCAGCAGCAGCTGAAAGCCAGAGGAGAATACAGGAGATTGGTTCAAGTAAATGCCACCCCCCGCTTCTGTGCAGGTTTCGGGGGTCCTCATGGAAGAGATGCAATCTACCTGTCACTTGCCTGCGATCGACAGGTTGCTAACTCCAACTCTAATGGAATCAGTTTGCTGTAATATATCTGCTGCACACTATTTATGCCCTTCAGAAGCTGATCCTACTGCTTCCATCACAGCCTAATCACACAGGCCTCCAGCTTCATGACAGAGTACCTTTAAAGATGAAGATGGCTTATAACCAAAGGTTAGTTAATTTCATGATGCTGCAGTCACAAATGACAGAAAAATGTCACAAGACCAATAAGTCACAGACAGTCCTGCATGCATTAAATTGGCCCCTAATCTACGCTTGAGATGTGTCTTATAAATGGTCTCCCATCCATCTGTGTAAGTGGAGCTGATAAGAAAACTGTGATGTCATTGACAGGAAGTGAACAATTTCAATGAACGAACTATTATTGATGGAGATCCCCATCTCCTGCTGGTCACACAATGGTCTAGAACTGATCTTTGTATGTCACTATCTTCAGCTATACGAGGGATCGGACAATGTCCTCTTTCTTACTTCTCTGATGCCACCATGTTAGAATGTTCTCTGTAATTACTTTGAGGCCCTCTGTCATCACACAAAGCCCTCAGTGTTGTCCTGCAGGATGAAGATGATGTCATTGTCATCCCTCTAACAGCATTGAATCACTCACTGATCTCCAATCTCATGGTATAAGTGGAGACCCCCAAAATTTCTATCTCTGC